ACGTGTTTGCTGTGTAATGAATTTACTGCAGACTCAGCTCTGTAAAAGCTAAATCGGCTCGAAAAAATACAGGTATGGTTTGTAATCGTTAAATCCTGAAAAAGCCGGTACACGGACGGGTTCGCTGAAATTTTCTCGGCAATACAATTTAAATCGATTCAAATAAACAAACTTTGATGAGGTGCGCTGAATCATGGATTACGTCATCCATTCCTTGGACTTGATTTTGTTCCCAAGTGTCACTCCCGAATTTTACGCCATTTAATTCCCTTCCCATGGTTGAACACAAGATGAGATAAAATCCACGAAAACGACCACCACCACTTCCACTGGTATTTAACTGTGAAGAATCCTGATCAACGGCTGTGCGTTATTTATTTGATGTATTTCCAGTGTGGAAAAAAAGAATGTTAGTGAGGTCGAAAGACCGAATTGCTGTACCTCCCGCATTATGTTACATAATTCCTAATTGACAAAAGGGATCATGACTACATACAGTTTTATGGGGTATAACAAAAAACTTTGGCCAGTGGAATAACATGGCTAAATTAAATTAACTATTGCTATATGACTGTATATAGATAGCTATATACATATTATATGATCACTTAGTGGATACCTCAGTTCACTATTTTCCTGATGCAACGGAATTAAAGAGAATCGATCGCACATGGCCAGAAATACAATCGGAAAATCACGGTCCCTGTCTGCGGATGGTCTCTTCGCGTCCCATGGAACTTCGAGAATCTGAGCGTTGCCGCTAGTTGTTGCGATCAGGTAGCCTAGCGTATGGAAGAAACTCAATACAGATTTAGGTGTTAGGATACACTTAGGATTTCATACAGTGTGTTTTATTAAATGGACAATGTGACCACGCATTATGTTTAACAGTTCATGCAACTAACATAAGATGACTAAATAAAAGCAGCGGCATTATTCTTTCGACAACCCGGTTATTTAGAATTAAAGTGTCGAGGCCTGCCTGCTGGTTGATGCACTCTGTGAGCAAATCATACATTATGTCTGGGTACCTCAAGTGAATGGAAAGCGGTATATTTCATTCTACTAGTCTGTTTCTGGACGCATAGCGCGGAACAGGAGTCCTCAGACTATTCACCATCCCCTCCCCCCCTTTTTCATTGCTTTGGTGTGAGACAGCAATTAGTTCAGAGCGTTTCAAGGCCACACTAATGCAGTTCACTTCCGTACGTATATTGATTAATCCGGCCCTTCGGATAAGTTTGCGTTGCAATTGGCGCCACAGTTTATTTTGCACAATCAGGGCCGCACACGTATTGCCAAATACACAGCTGACCAAAAGTAACAGTTCAAAGAAGAACAGCCGAATAAACTCTTAACAGACTACATGTGATTTTCGGGAATCTTATGGGGAACCAGGTTTCAAATGTCCAAATGTCTGGTGCAAAATGTTAAATAGATTTGAGCGGGTAGCTGAAAGCAGTCAACCCATCCCCCAAACACAACTGGAGTCTTAAATGTCAACCGGAAAGGGCCTACACAATAGTTTCACTAGATTTATGTTACTGGGATCTTTTTTATTCTCAGTACCGTTCATTAACAGATGAAAACAGTGCAGTAGTGCCGAATATTTCACTTAACACTCAAGCGAATAACACAATGAATTTTCCCTCATCATGAGACTTCACACCTGCCCAGTTCAACAAATATTCGGAGTGGAAATGTTATACAATTCCCATTGTAATCTGAACAGTTGTTTTGTAATATCTCTCAAGAGTTAGGAATTAAATCATGTGTATTGGTTTCTACCGTTGAAAATCAACATTTCTATACTGTTAGTTCTATTTTTAAAGACGACTTAAACGCTCGAAATGACAGCATGAGACCATCAAACTACCATAAATGATGTCGCTCTGCTATCCATGCGGTCGCTCATTTAATCCGGCTTTCGTGTCATATGTATTCATCTGTTTCACTCGCTTCTAAGTAGAAAATAAACAAACCAATCAACCTCTGTTTCCTATTTCGTTAAGATTTACGACCCCGGGTTACAGTATCGATGGATCAGATCCAGCCGAACTGTGGGGAAGAGCAATCTGCTGAAGTCACAACCTAATGTACCGTTGAGTGGATATTTTAAAACCAAAGTCGGTTAATCTGTATTCATAATGTCCACACTAATTAAGCTCCAAGCACTTTGACATTGGACAGATTTACTACTTGTATGCTAATTACAGATATGCAGTATTATTATAATAATAGCAATTCGTTTCAATTGACCGTTGGTCATTATTACCAACAATTCACGCAGTCTAAGGGAAGTAATTCATGTGGAGTGAACTGCAGGAACACGAGGCTTTTATCGCATTGGGTTTCCCAAATAATGCAAAAAACTAGTGAGCAGAACAAACTGATACTTTGTTTCGGGTATCCTGTCAATAAACTAACGACGCTGTACATTTACAATCTGGTTTGTTATATAAATCTACTGTGACCTATCACGCGTCAGTCACAAACGTTCATCAGCTCTTGTATACAACTGTATGAGACTGTTTTTTTCAGTCATTATTAAAAGGACCTAATCACAGGCAACTCATTTTAGGACACCAGGTGCAAAAAATAGACATCAACACGATGTCGCAATGCAACCAACCAACCATAAATCGTGGTGCTTACGAGTTCAAATATCCATTAATGATGATCTGAACACGTTCTGTGTATCCTCATTCAGCCAATGGACACTGGGATTAAATCATCACTCATTGGCTATTTCATATCAATAAAAATCATGCTACGAAGATGAACATGAGACATTAGTGAACGCTGAAAATAGGTAAGTTCCCATACTCACGGGAACCTCCGGTCCAGTTATGGGGATCGGGACCCACGTAGCAACTTTACACAAGACATCACGGGGGTAGGATAAGCACAATATTGAACTGGACGAAAGTGACAATGCCTACAATCAGTGAATCGATTGAAGATAGACTTTATCGTTGAATCCAAGCATTGGTATAAGCTGTGTTTAAATATCCCAAAGTTTACGTGGGCTCTTCCAGGACATTATTCCGGTCGCTCTTATTGGCATTCATGCAATAGGTCAGATGGGGAAAACAACCTAATGCTTTCATGTTTCCTCATTCGTGAATTTCATAAAATGTGATATCGTAGTAGACAAGCACAAATGGTAAATAGGTCGAGTTTATCATATGGAGGTAATGAGGTAATGAGTGCTGCTCACGATGTGGGTCCTCAAACGAAACAAGAATAAGTACTTCGCTTTGCTTGCATGATATTACAGTATATCGTTCTATAGTTCGAGTTTTTTTCATTCATTTTACCTGCGAAATGCGCACGAATGAAATCGTTGGAAGAAGACATCGTGATTCAGGCTGAACAATCCTGGTGAATACCGAATCGAACGGACTGTGTTCACATGCAATCATTTGGGATCGAACTCAACCGGGTTGATTGGAAGCCAACCATGATTGTAAAGATTCGGACTACGATAATGTAGGGTTATGCCATCCTATCTTAACATACTGTACTCTTTTGGCAGAATGGTAGTGAAGTAGCGCGACTTCTCTCTCTCACTCTGTGCTTAATGGCATTTGATTTAAGGCAAATAAAAGTATCAATGATTTCTCCCTTAAATCAAAATTGCGGTTGCATTCCATGACCGGGCTTTTGCTTCTTAATCTCAATTGTACCACGACTAGTTTCATGTCGTTTCATCATGGTCTGTTTCATCACTATCGAGCCTCTGACACTTCCCCAGGAAGAATGCCAATCTCATTAGATTCCTGTTTCTGTGTCAAACCTGGTCGGCTTCTGGTGCTGCCTTTTACACCAGAAAACAATAGCTGTGAAACATCCTTTCCTTACCCGTGTTTCCTTTAGCCACCTACAACTCTCAGGTCTTTCAAACGAGAATGAGCCAAGTGAATCGATGGTGAATGTTTTCTAGGTTGCTTTAGGATATCATCAGATTATGGGATTTACTTATTTTACAGTGAATCACTTTATGAGCAACAACAAGTTGAGTAATCGAAACACTTCTATTAAAATCTTCAACCTCAGAACCGTTTTCTTCAAATCCAATGTCGGTACTTTATTCATCCGTTGTACTTTTCATACTGTTGCCTTTCTCCACCCCTACATTTGTTTTCATAGTAACCATCATACTTACTTACGTTCCGCCTGATTTAGTCCAGCAATTTTACCGATCGATCTGACCTTCTTTCGCATCTGAGAACTGCGACACCAATCAGCCTACCTTTGTCTCTATCTTAGTCTCTCTCTCACACACACCAGCGGGAATACGAGCCTCGTGTCCTTGATTTCAAATAGGTTGTTCGATTTACCACGTGCATTTACATTGTAATCTGTTGAAATTCTGTCCAATTCGTGCACAATTCCACTAGTCTCTTGATAAATCCCACCCAAAGTATTGTATGCTTTCACCTTAACTTGCATTGCTTTTCTCGAAAGATTCCTGCTTATAACGATCACTTACAGATTTAAGGTCTATATCTATTTTATATAATTATCTACCGCTGCAACACCAGACAGTCTCCATTGGTTATCAATCTGTGTCTCGGTTAAAACATAATTAAATCTAAAATGCCGTGACATCATCAGGTTCGTTCATTTCCATCACTGCTGATTTAGAAACCATTGAATTCCTTAGGAATGTCTACTTAGCTAATGATTCTGTTTGACATCAAAGCCTAACAGAGAAGCCGTACACAGGATGACAGGATTCAGAACAGATGTGATTTTGAACAGAAACACACACGCCGGGCGGCATGCTGAGTCCGCAATAAGGGGAAAACAAGTACATCCATGTGATAAGGGGCCAGATGAGAAAGATAACAGATGAGGCAACGAATAATGCCAAATAAGAACGGCCAGAATTACATCAGCATTGGTCACCGTAAATGACATGTAACAATAATAGTTGGAGGGGGGTTGGCGGGCTGATTTGCACAAAATAGTAGAATGTAATCGGATTGTTTTTTTTATTTGGACTTCAGCAAAGGTGCTTCCACCACAAGTGTGTTCCCATGGAGCTCAGTGGCCATCGACAACGGATCCACCGTCTCAGGTACCGAATATGAACGTGTGAACTGTCGCACACAAGAGCCCTGGAAATGTTCTGTGTCCTCTTTCACCTCATGACGCCCAGTGACTAGCAACCGGTTCGCATCTACAAGTACCGATAGGTCGTCTGCTTTATAACCGGGCTCAACAGGGATTTCCACGTGCAGAAGTCGCTTCGTGGGGCCACCCTCCCGTATGACTGGACCGGGTTTACCTGAAACGTACCACAGTGAGAGAAAAACGCAAATTAAGGTGTGCGCAATATGCGGAATGGATCTTAATGAACGCGGCGATGATTGTTGTACACCAACCTGGAACTGGAGTGTTCATTATCTCTTTTCCAACTTTTCTTGATTAATCCGCCCCTTCTAAAGAGTTTGATATAAATTGTGATGTATTAACCTGTAGAAGAATCACCGCAAACGAGCTTGTTCACTACTTTGTGTTTTTCTCACAATGGGCATTGACGGTACATTTGGACAACTAACCTGTAACTTTTAACGGGGTACATTTGTTTTCGTTTGCACCTGGCTGAGGTGGCTTTGATTGCAGTTCTTGCTTGACACTCGGTTTGATTCCGAGTTGTAAATCACGATCAAACTCGATTTGTTTATAATTGTCCAGTTTCACCGGCGCTTCGAGAATTAAAACACCATCGTCAGTCATCAGGCACTCGAAGTGATCTTCATCAACCGTATCCGGCACGTAGACCGTTCGACAAAATTCACTCGAACTACGCCTCTCCGCGGTTTTCACACTCTTCTTTGCATGCACAGTTAGCCAGTGCTTTTCCATTTTGACTTGAATATGTTCCGGTTCATATCCGCGAACATCAAACTGCAAATGAAATTTCACCTTCCCGTCCTCACCCATTTGGAATGCGTCTTTCAGATAGCCCAATGGTCCACCATGTAGGCCACCTTGTGGAACAATGGGACCAAACAGTTCGTCTTCTGGCTTGTTGTATGTGAGCATACATTGCGGTTGAACAGGAGAACGTTGAGACATCTGTCGGCGCAGTGCATTCGTTTGGTTATCCATACAGGACAAAATGGCTTCCAAATAATCCATTGAGTCGGGATCAGTATTGATGATAGACAGTGGTTCCAAATCGCTGGATTGTGCAGGCTGAAAAATGATTGAAAGATTCACGATATTGTCCGAAGAAGAAGTCACAAGGCATTTGAATATTAACCTCCCATGGTTAAAATAATTTGTCACTTAATTTTCATCTTATCTTTTTCAAAAGGAATTCAAATAGAACTCGATTGCTATCCCACAACTATGTGATTTTAACCATGTCTTTCTTGAAACATCATATTTTCTTTAGCGTCTGGGTGCTGGAAACAGCAAAGATTGACCTCTTGCACGAAATTCGGGATCTCTGAGATCGTTACGGGTGAAGTAAAACCGTCTGCCGGCTGATTCCCAACCCCCCCTCTCGGGGTTCATCTTGATTTGCATTCCAGGCGGATAGATGCCTTTGTACTAAGATAAAAGCTCCCATGGTTTGACATATTCACATTTAAAGCAATTTATTCCTTGTCAATAAACACTTCATAAAACATCCATTTTTTCCGAGCTGTTCACTTTTATTCTTACAGATTTGGTGGTGTATATCGTTCAGTTTACTGTACCCTCACTGTTTGATGCATAAATGCATTCCTGCGAGCATGTAATCATCAACCTAAATTTCACTTCATTTAATTTCAAGAAATTGGTTTTTCTATAATTGAATCAGAAAGCCTTAATTGCATACAAAATCTTTCTTATAGAAGAACAACAAAATGATTGTCGGAGGCACAGTTGTTTTATCGTTGCTCGCTTAGAATTGTCAAGACAGGTAGTTATTGTGAATATATTTTGGTCAAAAATGAGCACTTATTTAATATTTTAACTTAGTTGTGAGTCAAAATCTATTCTCATTCCGTGTTTGCCGAACTCATATAACCAATAACAATTAACTCGAACTAAATCAAGTTCATTCAATAAATAGTTTGCTTATTTTGTCATGGTAATCGGAGTGCAAAGCATGGAATGGCCATAAAAAAGCAACATGAAATAAATTGCTGTCTTTTATTCCTGATGAGCTATTTTCTCAATAAGCTCTCTGTCCTTAACAGCTACCCAGTTCACTCAAAAGTAGAAAATAAAATGTAGCCAATGCGTGTGTCGTAACTATTACTTAATTGCAACCATCTCACTCAGTTGTTTTTACTCACCACTAGCACAAACGCATTTTGACGCATTCGGCGCATCACATCGGACCATAGACGGTTCGTGGAATCAATCCATTTGTTCACCTCATTTGACCATTCCGGATGCAGGGATTGTTCTCCCGATTGTTTCGGTTTTGCATTCGGACTGGTTGGCCGGTAATTACGTTGAAGGTTTGAGACCAAATCCCGATGCTTTTGTTCCAAATTACGTTTATCCCGACGAACTGGTATGAAGGAAGGTTCTTTTTGTTGTTGTTGTTGTTGTTGTTGCTGCTGCTGCTGCTGCTGCTGCTGTTTCTCCATTGGTGTGCAAAATACACAGTGAATTTCACGGGGCCGAATAACGTGCCACTGTTTATATACCTGGGTAAGAACCAATCCGAGCGGGCTGGTTATCTGTTAGCTGATTGGTTGAATGCACACACACACACATATATTCATGGCGGCAGCTGTATCAACATGCATTTGTATTTGTATAACTTTTGCAAGCTGAGATTTGTTTACATTTCAGTTAAAAAGTGTCTCTGGTCAAAACACCGGAGAAAATAAAGAAGTATAGACAGAGTGCTGTGTAGAAAATGTCTCCGAATTTCGATTCATTCAATTAAAGACTGACGTACCTCATTTATAACTCGTTCCTTGTTGGTCTAGATGCGAGCCAAATACGGTAGAGTGGAGTTTTTATAAATGTTTATTCGAGAGCGTAGGTAACGATAAGAGAGAGAGAGTGCAAGCGACAAGAAGATAAGTCGAAATGCAAAGGATAGGTGGGGTCGCTTAGAATCTTATAGGAAAAAGGTCATACGAGAATTCATGTAACCAATAATATGTTCTGTGATTATAGACTCGGCAGAAAGTCAAGATACACGGTTTATTATCATCAATCCACGATGGACAGTTTTCAAGTCTTGTTTCAATAGACCGCGGAAACAATACAGGGGAGTAGTAAAATAGTAGTAGTAGTAGCAGTAGTAGTAGTAGTAGTGGTAGTAGTAGTAAAGTAGAGAGAACGCATTGTTCAACAAAAGAGAACAAAACTTGTTGGGGAATGAGAAATTATCTGAGCTTCCGCAGCTGAAAGGAGGGACGCCGAAGTTTGCCCATACACTTGTGAATGTCTGTCGACCACCGAAGATTATTGGCCATAGTAACACCCAGATACTTGGCTGTGGTCACTCTAGGGAAAAGGTTCCCATTAAGGGTTACAGAGTCTGACGGGAATGTAGAGCGGGAACAGCTGAAAATGCACTCCAAGCACTTGGATATGTTAAGATTGAGGCCAGACTGGTTTGAAGACTGTTCGATTGGTGACCGATTTTCAGTGAAGGAGGAAAATTCCGAAAAAGAAGAAAGAGTCTGACATAAAACGACATCATTAGCATACTCCTGGATATGAACAGGATGTGGAACAGCAAGATCATTAATGAAAGGAGAGAAAACATACGGAAAGAGGACAGCACCTTGGAGCACACCAGAATTACTGGCTAGAGGACTTGAGGTATTCCTGACCAGCTTTGTGCACTGGATTCTTTCGGTGAAATAATCAGAAAGTCACGAAAGCAGCTGTCTCGGGTGCCGGAATATTCAAGTTTAAAAAGGAGGGATGACCGGGACACAGAATCAAAAGCAGACGAATAATCGAGAAAAACGCAACGACAGAATGTGGCAGAGCTGTTCAATTACTTGCTTATAAAATAGACCAGAGTAGACACAGCATCCAAAGTGGATCTGCTGCGTTCATACGCGAACTGGAGAGGATCATGGGGAATGGTGACAAGTGACTGTGAGCGGCTCAGGATGGCTTTCTCTGTCAACTTTAGAACTACAGACTTCAATGCGATCGGACGAAAACGTTTTGTAAGAACGGTTGAGGATGAGTTCTTTGGAACAGTTAATATGGTCACTGGTCGCCAGGAATCGGGGATTATCTGTACAAAAAGAGACTCGTTGAGGAGGGATGTCATCATACTAGTTAAAGGGGCTGCTCCAAACATGAGAAACGCTGGAGAAAGACCACCAGGGCCCGCAGATGAAGATGGTCTGAAGGAACGTAGCAGCCTAAAAATTTCGTCATTGAAAAAAGGGGGCAGATCGGACTTCGAAACCTCACATGGGAAAGAGTGTATGTGGTTATCGTTAGACGGATGAAGAAATGCAGCGTTAAGGCTATTTACATCAACATCACTGTTCACGTTTTTCCATTTTTGTCCGCAGAGTAGACGAATCTCTTGCCACCTAAACCTTGTGTCTTTTTTGTTTGCAGGATTTGGTAAGCGAACGTCTTGTTTACACGTGTCATCTCAGCCTTAATTAAGTTAGAATAGTACTTTCCAGCAGATGGATAGTGAGATTTATAGGATCGTTTCTTTTGCCTTGGTAGTGAGTTCAATTGAGGAGATGCAATTTTGCCGTTGCAAACAAATAGCGTTTTCATGCTACAGCGAAAATGGAAAATTGATTTCGTCGTTTCAGTGAAATTCACGAATAACCGCAATTCTATTTTCTGAAAGTTCTGGTACCCACCATTTCCAATAGTTTTGATAATTGCGCATAAAATGCCACCATACACAACAGCACCAAAATCTTTTCCCAACATTCTGCATTCACTTTTCAAAAACAATCATAAATAAATGTCTAATGAAATTAACCAAAGCCTATTGGTCGAAGTTTGGTCTCTAGCTTTCTTGCAATGATCCGTAATAAATCTCGTTGCGTAAGGTAATCTCATATTGAGTATCAGAGAGTTAGGACGTGAACGAAACTCATGAACGCACAATTAATATTTTGAATTGGGGTATAATACCTAATCGGGATTTGAAGCGAAGACATGGATGCTTTTATCTTTGAATGTACATCGTGCATGATACGTATTGAAACTCATGAAAACACATCAGAATATGCTCAGTAATATATGACATTATATGTATACGGACTTATTGCATTGTAATCAAGTTGTTGGTGTCGTTTTCTGTTGGTTGGAACACTGTGTTTGAATTTGCTGTGTTTAAATAAAATGAAATTTCCCCGGAGATTCATAACCAAAGCCTTCGATTGCCTGAGGCGGTATCTGAAAAGTGAACAAAGTGCTATTGACTCACATTTAAACGTCTTGAAACTCATTTGTTTTACGCACAACAAAGAACGAATTTGCATTGATTAACCTCTGTCTGTGAAACTGATAAACATTGGGCTAAGAAACAGATGCGTTGCAGTTTCGGGTCATGTTAGTTAGAGTGGATTTAGATATTGTCTCATTTCAGACAAAGGTCCAAATGATTGCAAATCATGTATACACTATCTATAACCGTTACCAGATTGAAACCAGCTGTTTTTATGACAGAAAATATTTCTTCTGATTTTACTGGAAAGAAAAATTACCTAAATTTTAATGAAGGAGCCAAAAAATTCAGCTCCATCCTAACTGTCACTTATCTCTCGATCTTGTGTTTGTCTTACATTAAATCAGTTTAAATAATCCGTCTATCGGAGTACTTTGCTCAAATTGGCGATGCTTCATTAGGCAAATACGAACGAACCATTATGTCGAATACTAATGGTCACTAATTGTTCATTACCGTGTGTTTACGTCAGTCATTTATTTTCTTCTATTGGCTATTTACTTCGTGCAATGAATCCATATGTGTACAAGCAGTATTCAGGCTGGGAACGTGATCAATCCAAGGGGAATGGTGTGACTGAAAAAGGTCGAGGTTACAAGGTAGGGATGACAGGGTTAGGACACACGACCTCCGGGCAATGGGATGGCAATTAACTTTACTGGACCACCGACACCTTCATAAAGCTGACGACTCACTTTAACGAGTAAAATACAGAAACCATTCGATAAGGCAAGCGGAATCAGAGAAATGTACTCAAGCAAATTTGAAGTGAAATGGTTGCTAAAGACTGAATCAAGATGGTGGACGAATTTATTTTGCAACAAAACATCCCGACTCGCTTAGTACAGTACATGATGTTGCTACTAGTCAAAAACTATGATTTTCTCAATATTGTCTTTCATCGTGTTATAAGCACAAATCATGAATCATCAAGCAAATGCGTTGTCGATTGACGGGATGTGATCATGTGGTTAGCTTTCGAATATGAGAGCTCATTCAATGGCACCTTGAGGTCAGTGCTTCGTACTACGGTCTAGTCTCTTTTGGTTTGCATCTCTTCGATTGTTTTCAACTTGCAATAAGCAAGTATTAACCTGCCATCGGCGCCGGATGCGTATGACATCTAACTACCAGTCGAATAAATTTAGCTCTGAATTGCTATTGGGAAGGTTGTTAGGTGTCCGAGGTGAAACTGGTCACCCATAAAATAAAAACCTCACCTCTCGGAACAAAGTTACAGTACATCTGACATAGGGGAATTTGAAGAAAAAAGATTTTAATCGCAAGCGATATGGCTAAATCAACGAAGATCTCATTTTTATCTATCAGCTGAGCTTGAAATTGTTTGACTGTAAACATTTTATCACCGCCCGAATGAGTCCTCCCGGTGCTTGTGGTAGGCCACCTATATTTGTTCACACATGTACGTTCTTTTTCCTCCATGAACGGGTCTCTTCTTCCTATTGTCTTTATCCGTATTAGGTGTGCCACTCACTCGTGGGGGTTATTTTTCTGAGTTCGAGCGGTCTTTTAATTACGTCACTGTGTCATTTGATCCTTGGAGTTGAATAGAAACCTACACNTGACGGAATTGTTTGAATGTCACCAAAATTTGCTGAGTTCTTCGAGCTGTTTTGGCCAATGATCCTTACAGATTCACTGATGAATTTCTCTCTTTTATTTTGATGGAATAAGTGAGAGTGGATCACGCCTCCTGACTGCCGATGGATGTTCACAAATCCTTCCTAATAAGTGTTTTCCAATTCGCTGTTTTATTCACCACGAACAAGACCGAAACACGATGTATTAAAGGCAGTGTTCAGACCTTCTTGAAAGTCCTTTCTCAGATTGTTTTTTCCTCCCAGTTTGCTCAACATAATGTCTCAAACAGAATTTGTTCCGTCGCTCTTCTTTGTTAAACTCGAAGCATCTCAAAATGAGAACTTTAATTTCGTGTTTAGAAAGCGATCATCTAAGCCTTGACATGTATAATGATGACTCACAAAAAGTCCC